ACTAACTGCACACGCATCACTAACTGCACTCGCATCACTAACTGCACACGCATCACTAACTGCACACGCATCACTAACTGCACTCGCATCACTAACTGCACACGCATCACTAACTGCACTCGCATCACTAACTGCACTCGCATCACTAACTGCACTCGCATCACTAACTGCACACGCATCACTAACTGCACACGCATCACTAACTGCACTCGCATCACTAACTGCACTCGCATCACTAACTGCACACGCATCACTAACTGCACACGCATCACTAACTGCACACGCATCACTAACTGCACTCGCATCACTAACTGCACACGCATCACTAACTGCACTCGCATCACTAACTGCACTCGCATCACTAACTGCACACGCATCACTAACTGCACTCGCATCACTAACTGCACTCGCATCACTAACTGCACTCGCATCACTAACTGCACACGCATCACTAACTGCACACGCATCACTAACTGCACTCGCCTCACTAACTGCACTCGCATCACTAACTGCACACGCATCACTAACTGCACTCGCATCATTAACTGCACACGCATCACTAACTGCACTCGCATCACTAACTGCACACGCATCACTAACTGCACACGCATCACTAACTGCACACGCATCACTAACTGCACACGCATCACTAACTGCACTCGCATCACTAACTGCACACACATCACTAACTGCACTCGCATCATTAACTGCACACGCATCACTAACTGCACTCGCATCACTAACTGCACTCGCATCACTAACTGCACACGCATCACTAACTGCACTCGCATCACTAACTGCACTCGCATCACTAACTGCACACGCATCACTAACTGCACACGCATCACTAACTGCACTCGCATCACTAACTGCACACGCATCACTAACTGCACACTCATCACTAACTGCACACGCATCACTAACTGCACACGCATCACTAACTGCACACGCATCACTAACTGCACACGCATCACTAACTGCACACGCATCACTAACTGCACACGCATCACTAACTGCACTCGCATCACTAACTGCACACGCATCACTAACTGCACTCGCATCACTAACTGCACTCGCATCACTAACTGCACACGCATCACTAACTGCACTCGCATCACTAACTGCACACGCATCACTAACTGCACTCGCATCACTAACTGCACACGCATCACTAACTGCACACGCATCACTAACTGCACACTCATCACTAACTGCACACTCATCACTAACTGCACACGCATCACTAACTGCACTCGCATCACTAACTGCACTCGCATCACTAACTGCACACGCATCACTAACTGCACTCGCATCACTAACTGCACTCGCATCACTAACTGCACTCGCATCACTAACTGCACTCGCATCACTAACTGCACACGCATCACTAACTGCACTCGCATCACTAACTGCACACGCATCACTAACTGCACTCGCATCACTAACTGCACTCGCATCACTAACTGCACACGCATCACTAACTGCACACGCATCACTAACTGCACACGCATCACTAACTGCACTCGCATCACTAACTGCACTCGCATCACTAACTGCACACGCATCACTAACTGCACACGCATCACTAACTGCACACGCATCACTAACTGCACTCGCATCACTAACTGCACACGCATCACTAACTGCACACGCATCACTAACTGCACACGCATCACTAACTGCACACGCATCACTAACTGCACTTGCATCACTAACTGCACACGCATCACTAACTGCACTCGCATCACTAACTGCACTCGCATCACTAACTGCACACGCATCACTAACTGCACTCGCATCACTAACTGCACTCGCATCACTAACTGCACACGCATCACTAACTGCACACGCATCACTAACTGCACACGCATCACTAACTGCACACGCATCACTAACTGCACACGCATCACTAACTGCACACGCATCACTAACTGCACACGCATCACTAACTGCACTCGCATCACTAACTGCACACGCATCACTAACTGCACTCGCATCACTAACTGCACACGCATCACTAACTGCACTCGCATCACTAACTGCACACGCATCACTAACTGCACACGCATCACTAACTGCACTCGCATCACTAACTGCACTCGCATCACTAACTGCACACGCATCACTAACTGCACTCGCATCACTAACTGCACTCGCATCACTAACTGCACTCGCATCACTAACTGCACTCGCATCACTAACTGCACACGCATCACTAACTGCACTCGCATCACTAACTGCACACGCATCACTAACTGCACTCGCATCACTAACTGCACTCGCATCACTAACTGCACACGCATCACTAACTGCACACGCATCACTAACTGCACACGCATCACTAACTGCACTCGCATCACTAACTGCACTCGCATCACTAACTGCACACGCATCACTAACTGCACACGCATCACTAACTGCACACGCATCACTAACTGCACTCGCATCACTAACTGCACACGCATCACTAACTGCACACGCATCACTAACTGCACACGCATCACTAACTGCACACGCATCACTAACTGCACTTGCATCACTAACTGCACACGCATCACTAACTGCACTCGCATCACTAACTGCACTCGCATCACTAACTGCACACGCATCACTAACTGCACTCGCATCACTAACTGCACTCGCATCACTAACTGCACACGCATCACTAACTGCACACGCATCACTAACTGCACACGCATCACTAACTGCACACGCATCACTAACTGCACACGCATCACTAACTGCACACGCATCACTAACTGCACTCGCATCACTAACTGCACACGCATCACTAACTGCACTCGCATCACTAACTGCACACGCATCACTAACTGCACTCGCATCACTAACTGCACACGCATCACTAACTGCACTCGCATCACTAACTGCACACGCATCACTAACAGCACACGCATCACTAACTGCACTCGCATCACTAACTGCACTCGCATCACTAACTGCACTCGCATCACTAACTGCACTCGCATCACTAACTGCACACGCATCACTAACTGCACACGCATCACTAACTGCACTCGCATCACTAACTGCACTCGCATCACTAACTGCACACGCATCACTAACTGCACACGCATCACTAACTGCACTCGCATCACTAACTGCACACGCATCACTAACTGCACACGCATCACTAACTGCACACGCATCACTAACTGCACTCGCATCACTAACTGCACTCGCATCACTAACTGCACACGCATCACTAACTGCACTCGCATCACTAACTGCACACGCATCACTAACTGCACACGCATCACTAACTGCACTCGCATCACTAACTGCACACGCATCACTAACTGCACTCGCATCACTAACTGCACTCGCATCACTAACTGCACACGCATCACTAACTGCACACGCATCACTAACTGCACTCGCATCACTAACTGCACACGCATCACTAACTGCACTCGCATCACTAACTGCACTCGCATCACTAACTGCACACGCATCACTAACTGCACACGCATCACTAACTGCACACGCATCACTAACTGCACTCGCATCACTAACTGCACTCGCATCACTAACTGCACACGCATCACTAACTGCACACGCATCACTAACTGCACACGCATCACTAACTGCACTCGCATCACTAACTGCACACGCATCACTAACTGCACACGCATCACTAACTGCACACGCATCACTAACTGCACACGCATCACTAACTGCACTTGCATCACTAACTGCACACGCATCACTAACTGCACTCGCATCACTAACTGCACTCGCATCACTAACTGCACACGCATCACTAACTGCACTCGCATCACTAACTGCACTCGCATCACTAACTGCACACGCATCACTAACTGCACACGCATCACTAACTGCACACGCATCACTAACTGCACACGCATCACTAACTGCACACGCATCACTAACTGCACACGCATCACTAACTGCACACGCATCACTAACTGCACTCGCATCACTAACTGCACACGCATCACTAACTGCACTCGCATCACTAACTGCACACGCATCACTAACTGCACTCGCATCACTAACTGCACACGCATCACTAACTGCACTCGCATCACTAACTGCACACGCATCACTAACAGCACACGCATCACTAACTGCACTCGCATCACTAACTGCACTCGCATCACTAACTGCACTCGCATCACTAACTGCACTCGCATCACTAACTGCACACGCATCACTAACTGCACACGCATCACTAACTGCACTCGCATCACTAACTGCACTCGCATCACTAACTGCACACGCATCACTAACTGCACACGCATCACTAACTGCACTCGCATCACTAACTGCACACGCATCACTAACTGCACACGCATCACTAACTGCACACGCATCACTAACTGCACTCGCATCACTAACTGCACTCGCATCACTAACTGCACACGCATCACTAACTGCACTCGCATCACTAACTGCACACGCATCACTAACTGCACACGCATCACTAACTGCACTCGCATCACTAACTGCACACGCATCACTAACTGCACTCGCATCACTAACTGCACTCGCATCACTAACTGCACACGCATCACTAACTGCACACGCATCACTAACTGCACTCGCATCACTAACTGCACACGCATCACTAACTGCACACGCATCACTAACTGCACTCGCATCACTAACTGCACTCGCATCACTAACTGCACACGCATCACTAACAGCACACGCATCACTAACTGCACTCGCATCACTAACTGCACTCGCATCACTAACAGCACACGCATCACTAACTGCACTCGCATCACTAACTGCACTCGCATCACTATGCATCACTATAACTCATGCTCCACATGCCACAGTCATGCGTGCAGGGAATTCTGGGAACATGAGCGAGCGTGACCACAGCCGGACGGTTGCCATAGCAACTCTGTCAGCCCATAGTATCCTCGGCACTGTTGCTGTGACTCATTATGGGATGCTTTGTGTGGCGATGCAGTGGGATGTGGTTACCATGGTTACAGTGCATTACTCACCAGCTGTGCGGCGTGATGTTGGCGGTTCTGCGCGGATCTCTGTGTGACTGAACGCTTCTGCTGCTCTTGTGCCTGAACACACAACTCCTGCAGACACACACACACACACACGATCAACACACAACTCTTGTGTGTGCATGTACCTGCTGGTTCCTCAGGTGTGTGTGTGTGTGTGTGCATGTACCCGCTGGTTCCTCAGGTGTGTGTGTGTGTGTGTGTGTGTACCCGCTGGTTCCTCAGGTGTGTGTGTGTGTGTGTGTGTGTGCATGTACCCCCTGGTTCCTCAGGTGTGTGTGTGTGTGTGTGTGTGTGTACCCGCTGGTTCCTCAGGTGTGTGTGTGTGTGTGTGTACCCGCTGCTTCTTCAGGTGTGTGTGTGTGTGTGTGTGTGTGTGCATGTACCCGCTGGTTCCTCAGGTGTGTGTCTGTGTGTGTGTGTGTGTGTGTGTGTGTATGTACCCGCTGGTTCTTCAGGTGTGTGTGTGTGTGTGTGTGCATGTACCCGCTGGTTCCTCAGGTGTGTGTGTGTGTGTGTGTGTGCATGTACCCGCTGGTTCCTCAGGTGTGTGTGTGTGTGTGTGTGCATGTACCCGCTGGTTCTTCAGGTGTGTGTGTGTGTGTGTGTGTGTGTGTGTGTGTGTGTGTGTGTGTGTGTGTGCATGTACCCGCTGGTTCCTCAGGTGTGTGTGTGTGTGTGTGTCTGTGTGTGTGTGCACCATGGGCGTAGATTACGCGGGGGACGGGGGGACACGTCTTTTTATAAAATGTAAATTCGTCCCCCGCACTTTTTCATAGGGCAAATGTGTCTATGACAAGCTGAGGTTTTCGCAGGTTTGTATAGCCTGCCCTACATCGAGATTTAAAATCCAAAGAGTCAAGGATAGTCTATCTACAGACGTGACTTTCACGCTTCCATGGTAATCAGCACCCGCGCCGAATCCATCAGTTTCATAGAGTTCAAAACGGCAAAAAAAACTCTTCACTCCTTTTTCACGAAAAAGTCAAGCACTGTAAGTAAGTTGTCATGTGGTATCCGAATTGTGTTGCACAATGATGAATAACTCTGCCTATTTCTCTTGTTGAATAATTAACAAGTTTTGTTGTAAATTGAAAATATTCACTATACCCGCACAAACGTGCACTATTTTCAATCTTTTTTATTCGTAATGTCTTTTATTTTCACAGATATGTTATCAAAGCCCTTCAAATTAGAATAAACATGGTGATTGTTAATGCTGAATTTGTATGTTCATGCATTAACAGCCACGATCTGCTTGAATCAGGCAGTAACATGTGTAGACTATGATATTTACCATAATTCGGTAACACTTTACAATTAGATAAAAAAAAGTTTGTAGACAAACTTTAAGTTCTCTTGAAAAAGTCTAACTAGAAAGTTTGAAGTATTTTTAAAAGCTTGACGTTTGAAGGTTTTCAATTGGAAAGTTTTAGTTTAGTAAGACAGACTTTAGGCTATTAAGGAAATGTTATTTTGCCAAAAGAAGAACTTTTATTTTAAGTAAATGTTATTTCTAAATCAGCCACTTCAGTGTGATATTTAACCATATTATCATGCTTAACAGTAAAACTGATAATTTGAATAATTGTAATGCGATGATCAGATATCTAAATCAGAGAATATCATATTTGGGCGGTTGACGGGTGGATTATTTATTTTTAACAGTGGATTCGGGGGACTCAAAGTGCACCAGATTGATGAATTTATCTTTAAAATGTACAAAATTTTCTTCCGGGGGGGCATGCCCCCAGACCCCCCTAGAAGTACCGAGATCCACCTACAAAAATACTGTGGGAAACACAGTAGGCTATATGATGGTCTACGAAAAATAAAAATGTTATTATCTAATTCAAATACATGATCAAGATTTTACCACCTCCACCTCGTTTTAAGCCAGGAAAAACCCTGCATGTGCAATATAAAGTACTGAACATCTGCATTTCTTTCTTTCTGTTTTATTGCTTTAAAAATAAATAGCATATTAAGCCACTTAACCTGTCAACAAAAGTTTGAAAAAAAATGGTATTACACTTGACATTCTGTCCCCCTCACTTTTGAAATAATGGCTACGCCCCTGGTGTGCACGTACCCCCTGGTTCCTCAGGTGTGTGTGTGTGTGTGTGTGTGTGTGTGTGTGTGTGTGTGTGTACCCGCTGGTTCCTCAGGTGTGTGTGTGTGTGTGTGTGTACCCGCTGGTTCCTCAGGTGTGTGTGTGTGTGTGTGTGTGTGTGTGTGTGCACGTACCCCCTGGTTCCTCAGGTGTGTGTGTGTGTGTGTGTGTGTGTGTGCATGTACCCCCTGGTTCCTCAGGTGTGTGTGTGTGTGTGTGTGTGCATGTACCCGCTGGTTCCTCAGGTGTGTGTGTGTGTGTGTGTGTGTGTGTGTGTGTGCATGTACCCGCTGGTTCCTCAGGTGTGTGTGTGTGTGTGTGTGTGTGTGTGTGTGTGTGTGTGTGCATGTACCCGCTGGTTCCTCAGGTGTG